GCAGCTGCGTGTGTGTAAAACTGCCCCGCCCCCTTCGCACACAAGACGAGGGAGAGAGTCTCGTCTGACTCGACAAATACATCATCGACCATTTCTGTTTGTCTTTGCATGTTAGAAACGAGTGGCGACACAAGACTGCGATATAATTTTTGTAGCAATATACATGAAAATATTTTTAAATGTCCAGTACCGAAAAAAGACCAATAACGTGGTAGCTTAACGGCGCGTAAAGACACATGTGATGACGGTCACCAACCGAAATCGACAGACTGAATTAGTTGGCAAACTAATTTGGTCCTTGATTAGTTTTTGCACCCCTAGCGAGAAATCCAAGGAATTTCTAGGAATTTCGAAATCAGAAGTCCTTTATTTGTCCTCACAGATGGGGAATGTTTGCACTTTTTGATTCAAGTTTAATCTCAAAACTCCTCTATTTACGTGGTTGTTGTGAAAACGCTATTGTCCGAAATAGTTGGGCACATTCGTACATGGCTATCACCCAATACTACTGTAAGCAAATTGATGCTTTGCCATCCCCTCTCGTCCACACAGGCCAACATGTCCTTCGCCCAGCCTGCCTCGAGCAGGAAGGTGCCTGAGCACATTAGGCGTGGTCACTGCCGGGGGGCAGGGCTCGCCTCAATGCTGCATCTAGTCCGTCAAACCTGCCGACCCTGGAGCTTCACCCCCCTATATTACCATTGGAGCCACGCTGGACTATGTCCTCTTTGGACCACGCCAGGTGTGAATACACAAACACACACACGTAAAACACATTCTCCGTGTCTCACTTTGTGTTGTTGCGCCCCTTGTTTTAATGTCGGTTTGTGTTCTGGCAGGGAGCACCAATGTAAATAACGTGACATTCGCAGATAACAGAGCAGCCGATTTAACGTTTACTGATTCAAGTACTGTTGCAGAGTTCCCGTAATATGTTTTGGGGAAATTGCATTTAGGAACAAAGCTTTACAGGTTTAAGGTGAAAATGGAGTTGCACTGCATTTTTCATTCCCTTTTAACATTGCTTAATCGCCAAGCGCTCAACAGTAACGGTTGCCAGGTTCCATTGCGCCAACCCATTCATAAAAAATGTCAACCACATTCTTGGCAACAAGTTTTTAACTAGAAATTAAGGAAGCCAAACATCAAAATTGCACCCAAAAGAATAAATGTTATTATTTGGTTGTATCTCAAAGAGCTGATATTTAATATTGTTTGTGATCAGTCGAACCTGATACTCTTAAGTTGCACGGCTTGGTGAGATTACGGACGCCAGAAAGTGATGCACGTTACTCGCGTGCCGCTGTGCGTCGTGTGTTGTTGTTACAAAAATAGCGAAGCAAATTAAGTTGTTTGACTTGCGGTAAATGTCGGCCAACCCGTAACATCTCAAACGAATTTCAAACGTGAATCACCTGATAACGTGCAAGGGGAATCCGACAAAAAGCAAGAGGAATGTTGTCCATTCACTTTCCGGTAAAAGTTCCTTCAAATATAGTCCCCGACGATCTTATCTACTAACCAAATAAAGTGCAAAACGAAACTTTACCATGAGGAAGAACCCTCCGCATACCCCAGCCACACCCCGGCCATCACTTCTATAAAACAGGTAACACATTGTAAATACTAGTTACGAACGTATTAAGTAATTTACAGCATTAAACTAATTAAGATCAATTTCTTAACCGTGACTGCGGCTTCCATTTATTAACATTAGAAATGTATTAGGCTGGCCAATGCAACAGAACCACAATCCAAGACTCTCGATGCATGAAGGAACCAGTGGAGCTATGGGGTGGTCAGTCACAAAGGTCCAGAGAAACCACCAATTTGAAAGGAAGACAACGGATGACCAAGGAACTAGTGACTTGCTCAATTCCTTTTTGGGGGATCTGTGAAGAACATGACAACAGCTGCACTACTGGTGTTTTGTATACCAGCAATTGAGGGTGGACAAGTTTCCTACCACTTTAGTTTCAAATAATTGTGTTAATTACTTATTGTAAAGCATTTGAACATTCTTTTGTGTCACATTTTCATTATTAAGTTGATGTATAACTGTATAGTATCTTAATTATTTAAAATATAAGGTGACTAAAAATGGCAACCGTTTTTTCAGTTTTGGCAACCAAAAGCTGATGCCTGGTTGCCAGCCTGGCAACCACTTTTAAAAGTTAGCGTTGAGCCCTGTCTGCTTGCTCTGTATATTTATTATTTTCATATTTCATTTGATAAATGGCTAATTAATTCTATTAAATATGGTTTGTTATCCCAAACACGACAGGTTATAATAAATTATGACTGACAATGAGGAAACCAATACCATTAGATTCAGAATTCCTTTATTACTTTAAAAAGTATAATGTTCAAATGTAAGTCAACCACATTGTGATACTAAACATTGGCATTGTCTGAGAAATGTCTAACTTGGTCATCCCTAGTTTTGCTCCCCGTGGTGCTTTGTAGAGGATGACCTCTATTCTCTTCCCCCCGGCAGCGTGCGCCGTGGTTACCAGGTCTATAAGCAGGTGTGCTCAGCCTGCCACAGTATGGAGTACCTGGCCTTCAGAAATCTGGTGGGAGTGTCGCACACAGAGGCTGAGGTCAAGACCATGGCTGAGGAGGTGAGGCTGTGTGTTTGACAGAGGGGTTGAACCATGTGGAAAATGTTTTGTGGTTTAGGTTTCATACTAAGGTGTATGGTGTGTTAGGTTTCATACTTTAAGAGGTATGGTGTGTTTGATTTCATACTTTAAGATGTATGGTGTCGTGTGTTCAGGCTGAGGTGGTGGATGGTCCTGATGAGAGCGGAGAGATGTTCACCCGCCCCGGAAAGCTGTCGGACTACTTCCCAAAACCATACCCCAACCCCGAGGCTGCCCGCGCCGCCAACAACGGAGCGCTGCCCCCCGACCTCAGCTACATCATCAATGCCAGGTAACTAACAACTTTTAGTCTGAGAGCGCTCACACCTGATCTCCACATGCATCAGGTGTTCACGTGTAGTGTTCCCGCAGACACGGAGGAGAGGACTACGTGTTCAGCTTGCTGACGGGATACTGTGAGCCTCCTGCAGGAGTGGCGGTGAGGGAGGGGCTCCACTACAACCCCTACTTCGTCGGCCAGGCCATCGGCATGGCCCCCCCAATCTACAATGAGGTGCTGGAGTTTGAGGATGGTGAGTTGAGATGTAAAGCATGTAGTTGATTGTGAGGTCAGGCTGCTCAATCAAATAATCCTAGTTAAAATAGTGATCTGTGTAGAAACACAACATGATGGCACTGAAAGAGTTGCAACATTTCAACATTGAGAAAGTATGCCATGTGGAGATGATTGTGTTGCAGCAGGCATTGCACATCAGTAAACAGTTAAATAAAGGAAGATAACAAAAGGTTATTATACAAATACCAACGGTAGAGGTAAAGAATATGAAGGATCCAAATAAATGAGTCAGAATTACAATTAAAATATAACTTGGATTCTATTTTGCTTTTTTTGTAAAAAAATAATTGAATTTTAGATGACTGCATTTAAGGTGACAGCAAATGAGCAATGCTAATGTTTGCAGCCGTGGCAACTTGCAATAGTTATTATATTAAACAAGTTATCTATTGTTATACTAAATGCAACAACAATTGCAAAGCTGATTTCAAATGAACTGTGCTTTTAATGTCACTGAATCGTTTCAATCAGCAAGATGGGAATAAGAGAAAACCTGGATGTTTTTTTTTACATACATCACAATCAATTGCTATTGGTCTGGAAAAATAGATTTTTCAAACTATTTTTGCCTATGCATGGAGATTGAACTCCTTCATATCCATGCATCGTTTCTAGGCTCGTATTTTGAACTTTGCTGCAGTTAAAATATTTGTGCTGATGGTTGATGTGTGTTTTTTGCCATAGGAACACCTGCCTCCATGAGTCAGGTTGCTAAGGACGTGTGTACGTTCCTGAAGTGGGCCGGAGAGCCAGCGCACGACCAACGCAAACGCATGGGGCTGAAGGTAAGATACACAACTACACACTCTTTAGAAGCTGTGCTCACATAATGGATATGGTGTTACTATAGACCTGCACTTAATTACCTAAAATGAACTTTTCCATATTTTCCGTTCACTAATATTTGCAGAAGTAAGGATACAGCTTGGCTTTTATTGGTTGTTTCTTGGCACATGACAGGTGGAACGCGCGCTGCTGTCTTACAGAAGTTGAACTATTGAACACAATAAAAAAAAAAAGCGTGCAAAACATACTCATGTGTTTGCCCCCAACATTGTCTTTGCTATCATCAAACCAAACCTTAATCAGAAATGTGTTTAATCAAAGTTTTCACTGCGTACAGACTCAATAAATCAAGTTCAAATAGGATGTAAATGTGGTTTTAGTCGTGGGATTAATCTTTCTGCTCCCTTTCTCCCCCCCCCAGCTGCTGATGGGCGCCGGCATCGTCGTCCCTCTGCTTTACTACATGAAAAGACACAGGTGGTCTGTGCTGAAGAGCAGGAAGATCGCCTACAGGCCTCCCAAGTAATCGGAAACAAACGCACCCTACCTGGGCCCTAAACATACCAGAGCGGGCTGCGTTCAATGACCCCACAACGCTCACATCACGATAATCATGTGGACAAACAACAACTGACACAGAAATAAGAGTATGTATGTATGTATATATATATATACTAATATAGTATATACATACAATGTTTTATTCCCACGGAACAATGCCTGCTTTTTAGCTTGATTGGCGTGTAGTCATGTACTGTGAGAGTTGGTGGTGTCCCTTGAACGCACCCTCCACCCACATGCCTTGCTTTGTTTTACCTGCATTGAGTCATTACTGGAGCAGTTCGCGGTCCATGTCATCCACGTATCAGACACTTTGTCAAAAATTAAACTTATTGTTGATTGACTTGGTCCATCTCTTGTAAGATACTCAATAATCCACACAAGCGCTGAGAAATGGTGTCTGTTAAAGTTGTAATCCATCAA